CTCACAGGCCCCTGGGCTCCAGGACCAGCCAGTTCTCGGTGACCATCTGCACATCCTGGCCACTCAGAGGCTCCCGCAGCCTCACCTTCACCTCCAGCTTGCCCCCAGTGGGCTTCCTTCCTTCCAGGACCTGTGAGGACCGCAGAGAGGGAAATGGTAAGTGATGGGGCAGCGGTTGGGAACAGGCAGCTCACAGGTAAGGAATGAGAGGAGCTAAAGCATCCTGCAGTGTCAACACAGGAGTCTCCGTTTCATGACTACCCTGCCCTGCTGCTGTTTGGTGGTGGTGGTTTTAGGTAAGTCTTATAAAGATAAAAAGTAATGTGAAAATCCAATTAAGCATCAATGCTCTGAGGTGGAGATGAGAAACCTGAGTCCTGCTCAGTTGCCTCATGGCAACTCTTAGAAGAAATGCTCTGACTTAAAGGTGTAGCCTAAAAACCACTAACTTCACAGATGGCACAGAGATGTGGGTGTTACATTACACAGGCAGAGTGTGGCAAGGCCAGGACTAGAACCCAGGCCAAAGGTTCCTATCCACCCACCATGCTGCCTCCTTCCTGAGCAGGAGCGGGGCAGCTGGAGTGCAAAGCAGGGCTATATGCTGGAGAAGTCTGACCACTCTCAATGTGGCCAGTACACATAATAGTTCCCACAAACAGGTGGCGGTGGCGGAGGCGGGTAGATGCACCGTAGTGGATAAGCCCCACCCACAAAGGCATCAGCAAGGGCCTGGCTGCACTTGGCCAGGGACACTGTATGAGCTTATGTAACACCTCCTTCTCTAGACTTCAGTTTCATTGGTCAGAGGCAAACGCTTAAGAGTCCCTGGCCTATGAAATTTGATGAGTTCACAGATGCTTAAGGAGCTGTCTGGGACCAATTCCTAAACACAGACTAGCTTCATTGTGGTGGGTCCCTGATCTGGAAATACTGTATCAACTCTACGTCCAGAGGTGGTTCCATTTCATCATGGTGCCAGAGAACTGCCCTGCCCCCCAAACCTAGGAATTTGTGTGTGCTAAGTTGACAGCAATGATCAGACCCCTCACGGGCCCTGTAATCCACCATCCCTGGGAACTGAGCGGCCCAGAGAGTTGTGACGAGTATACCTACTTCCTGTCTGGGTGATGCTGTAAAACTTTCTCAGACCCTCTGAGTCTCTTCATTTGTGAAATTGAAATAGCACCTACTCTACAGCACACCTATAGATATTTTGAAATTAATGGGCACAAAAAACCTATAATGGGGGCTAATGTTCAATACATGTTGGCTCTTCACTTGCCAAGTGCTCTGATTTCCTCACCCTACCTCCAGTCTCTGCGTCCTACCTCCAAAATCTCCCTGATCTCACTCTCATTCTCCAGGCGCTCCAGTTTCAGGTGGGCTGTGCCGACCAGCTTGTCACTTCTAAAGAAGGACCTGGGGAGCCAAGAGTCAACAGAGTTGGACTGGGCAGGGAAAGCAGGAATGAGCTGGCAGGGGCAGCAGCAGCAGCAGAAGCCATTCCTTCCTCCCGGCCCACCTTGCAATGTGACTGACAGGGACCTCACCCTTTGTGGAAGATTTCAAACTTGATTCCTTTGCTTTGGATCACCCTCCTGAAGCCTCGGTGGTTTCGGTTGATGTTTAGTTTGAAGAGTTGATCAAATTCTGCAAGAGAAGACAAGAAGGGGCTTAGCTCCCGGGGATTTCCTGAGGACGTGGTTAACACGTCTAGGGTTGGTCTCTGCCTGCAATTCAGAGGGACTACCACCAGAGGGTGGTAACGCACCTAGGTCCTGGCCTGGAAGGCCACACTGGGCAGCTCTTAACACTCACCCGATTGATTATACCAAAGTGGGAGGGACCTGGAATTTGGAGTCTGGATTCCTTGATTCAAGTCCCATTTCTACCACCTCCTTGCTTTGAAGCCACAGCAAAGTCCCTTTATCTCTCTGAGCCTGTTTGCCCAACTAGTGAGAAGAGTAGTAATACCTGCCTTTATCTCCCAAGTTGAGTACCAAGTAAGATAATCTGGAAACACAACTGCTGCACACACAGATCAGAGTGAGAGGGAGGAGAAAGCAGCCCTCACCTGGAGAGTTTGTGTTCTTCACCACAGCTGTTTTGCTCTTTTGAGCCTGGTCCTAAAGCAGTAAGAAGGGACAAGTCAGGACAGCTTGAAAAAACAGGTCTATAGGGCCAGAAACTCTGTGCTAAGTCACTGTTGACGGAAGGGACCCCTATGGGGAAGGGGCCCCTTCAAACCCCTTCCTACAGCCAGACCTCCCAGGGATGGGGAGAAATTGAGCACAGGGTCCTGGAATGGAAGATGAGGTTCAGAGGATCCTACCTCTACCTGAACCTCACCGAGTTAGGGTAGTGGAACTCAAACCGCACAAAAGCATCCAAGTCATCAGGGGTCACTCCTACGGAGGAGAAATGGGAGTCATGGTCAAACGGAGTAGGCAGGAGCCCAGCACTTGATGTAGGGGGACAGCCAGTGCCTCCCTGTTGGTTGGGGGTGGTGTCTGGGCAAAAGCCTCCTGGAATAGGGGTGGCCCCGGGGCTACCTGGAGGGGCTGGGAGGTTCATTCCCCGGACAATGACCAGATGCATTTCTGTGCTGTTGAGTTCTGAGAAGACCCTATAACCAGGAAGCAAGGAGAAAGAGCCCAAAGTGAAGGAGTGTGCTGAGTTTTAAAAGGTCCCCTCTTCCAGTGCCTGCCTGCCTCCCAGGTGGTAGTCAGGAGGCGAGTGGGCCCAGGGCGGCAAAGCTTGCATGGGTGAGGAATGGCAGAGATGGCACACAGACCTTGGCCTGTGACCCCCAGTCCAGGGTTCCTTCCCCTACCACCCGCAGCTCTGAGCTCCTCACAGGCATCCTGTCCTACCTCCCACACCCCCCAGGCCCAGTGCCTGTGGCAGGGCCACGCCTGGGCAGCATCACTAGAGGTGCCTAAGTCTCCAGCCTTGGCTCCCAGCCTCTGGCCCACCCCTACATGAAGTCATTGTCTCCCTTAGGCTATTCTTTTTTTCCAATTACAGTTGACATTCAGCATTATTTTATATGAGTTTCAGGTGTATAGCACGTCTCCCTTAGGCTTTGGTACCTCACAGTCTGGAATGTCTTCAACTCAAAGTGGTGGCTAGGAGGGTCGAGGCCCTGGGCCTGGGCCAGCTGTAGGATCTCAAGCTGCTTTTTGCGTTCCTGAGCAAGCTTCTCAAACCTGACAGAGACAGGTGCTCGCGTCAGCGGGACAGGGCTCATTTTCTGCTCCCCACTCCACATGTCCTAGACCCAGCCCTTGCATTTACCGCGTAGTCTCAGCCACGTTGCCCTGGTGCATGAACTGCTTGGAGAACAGCAGACACTTCTGAAAATAAGAGGCCCAGAGTGACTCTAGGTTGGCTTTTGAGGTCTGATTTCTGAAAGGTCCAACCTTCTGTAGTATCACCCCTCTCCTCCCCCAACACATACCCCCAAGTCACTGTTCCTGAAGTCCCATAACACTTTTTTGCCTAAGTTTTTGCTGTTTCCTCCGTGATGACAGCCATTCCCCCAAAATACACTTAGCATACTCCTATTCTTTCTTCAAAACCTAATAGAAATATCACTTCAGAAGGCAGAATTGCAAGCAGCAGCTCAGATCCATAGGCACAAATATATGTATACATTTTTTTATATAGATACGTCTCCCCGAACACTTCTTCCTCAATACTCCTTCCTCCCATTTTCAAAGTACTTTCCCCTCCACTTTACTATCTGAACTTCGTAAGTACCCCAAAGGTGGGATATTAATCATTCTGTTTTACAGATGAGGAAAATGTTTTTCGGAGAGGGGAGTGCCTTGCCCAAGGTCACACAGCCAGTAAATTAAAGAGCCAGAATTTGAATCCAGGAATATCTGGTCTGAGCCCCATGACTTTCCCCAGGGAGAGGAAAGGGGAGGGCACTGAAAGGGCAGACAGACAAGCAGCCTACTGACCTCATGTTGCTCCAGAAGCATTTTTTGTAGCTGAGCATACACGTCTTCAGCCTTCTGGGAGAGTCGCAGGTCCTCATGGTGAATGAGGATGAAGTCGCCCTCTTCATCCGTCAAGGGTGAAGGCACCTACACAGATTACAAGGCCCCTCAGGGGCCCCAAGATGATTCCTCTGCTGAGCCTAACAAAAGCAGGATCCCAAACTGGACGTTTCTCCAGCTTCTAACCTTCAGCGATGGGAACTCATTGCTTCCCATTCTATCGCAGGCCGCCACAACACTCTGCCTCCCCCTGGTCTTGCCCTGCCTTGTCGTCTCTGGCTGCAGGCAGCCCATCTGGCCTTCCCCCAGCCTCTCCTGAGGCCATGGGAAGAAAGAGGCATAAACTGAAGGCTTTTCCAGCAGTAAGCACATCCTATCCAAGACCCATCTCCTGGAAGCAGCTGCCTCATTCACAGCTGCCCATCAAGCCCCTGCCACCCTCCTCCTCTGCTTGAGAAGTCCTGCTGCTTAACCAGGTGGGACTCACCTTGGAGAGGTCTACAGGCCGGCCTGCTCGGACCTGGATGATCTGAGCCTCAAGGCATTTGGCCAGCCGCAGATGAGCTTTGGCCTGTTCCAGGTCCTGGCCTCGCTTGGCCTGCAGGGCTGCCCGCTGGTACTGCCGTTTCCGTGCCTCTAGCAGTGACAGCTGCTCCCGCACTGAAGGGAGAGCAAAGTTGGTTAGAGCCATGCCTGCCCACCACTAGAGCCTTCACTCCATCCCTCTTCTCCCTAACTCACCAGAGGGATTCAGTGACTCCTTAGAACTCGAGGCCTTGGGCTCAGGTAGGGGCTGGGATGAAGGGACCAGAGGTTGTGCTGGCTTCTTGGCCACTGGGGCCTGGACTGCAGACTCATCCTGCAAGTGACGAGGAAGATGTCACATGGAGTCTGCTCCCCACCCTGGCCGAGGCAGCTCCCAGACCTGGACGCTCGTCTTAAATGCTACACTAACTTACTGTGTGAACTGAGATGAATGGCTTCCCCTTCAGGGCCCTAGAGAATCTGAGCTAGACAAGCCTCATGAAACTCTTTGAGCTAACCTCCCCAACAGGAGACAGCAGGGTATTGGGGATCTGGGCTCCGGAGTCAGTCAGACCTTGGTTTGAATCTAGCTTTGCCTATCTGGGTGCTGTTGGCCAAGTTTTTTCTCTGTTAAATGGAAGAAAGAATCCGTCTCACTGGGCTTCTTAGTACAGACAATGGGGTCTCCATGAAGCCCTCATCTGTCATTTCCCTCACCAATCCCTGGAGTCTCAGGCCCTCAGCCAAACCTCCTCATCCCAGTCTTCTGCTGGGGTCGTATCCTCCGAGGCGGCCAGCTTCTGAGCAGTTGCTAAAGTAGCTGCCATGGCATCCTCCGCAGTGCCCGCAGTGGGCTCCAGGCCAGGGATGGGGGGGAATCCTGTGGACGACAGTGAGCTTTGAGAGGGGTAGTGTAGCCTCAGGGAAGCACTACGCAGCTGTGGGCCTCGGCTGCGCTGGGCGGCTCCCACAGAGTGGAGGCAGCTACAAGAGAAATTATTTCCCCCTCCTCCCATCATTCTTAGAGATCTTCTCATGAAGACCCTAGGCCAAGCACCACCACTCACCTGGAGGGATAGGCAACTCAGCAAAATCAACTTTCCGTCCTGTTCGGTGTGCTCGAATGGCATCTTGATATTGCTGCAAGGGAAGGAAGGGAGGGACCTATGGTGGGCAGCAGCCTCTAGGCTCCACATAGGGAGAGACAGAGAGTGGAAGACTGAAAAACAGCAGCCCCAGAAAGAAAAAGCCCTGAACACAGAACTCCAGAGAGATAGACAGGCAGACAGAGACTCAAAGACCAGGGCTAGCTGCAGGAGCACACAGACAGCGCAGCCAGGGAGAGGCTGACATGCAGGGCTGCATGGCTGAGGGCCCACCTTGGCAATGCGCTCGTGCATCCGGGCCTTGCGCTCATCCCCACTGCCCTGGGCCTGGATGCCTGCCTCACGGTACTTGTTCAGCCTCTGATGCAGGGCGTCTAGCACTGTCTGTGGCTCAGGATGGGCCACTTGAAAGGAGGAAGGAGATGGCATCAGCTCTGCCTGCCTCTCCCCAGGTCCCCATTCCACAGTCCCACAATTTCGTCCTACCTGGGGCTGCAGGGGTGTCAGGGGCCATCACTGGCTGCACTCGCTCCACTGCTGGGGGTATGACTGAGGGTGCTGTGAGGGCCTTGGAAGGCTGTGGGAGGGGCTTCAGGTCTGGGGGACCCGGAGCAGAAGTGTAGGTGGGATGCTTGGCCAGCCCCAGCCTGACCGAGTCCCCCCCCCACCATCCTCATACTGACCCTCAGGTGCTGGGGGCATGGCACTCAGGTCCACAGGGTCTCCCTTCTCCAGGGCCTCCAGGACAGCACCGAATCTCTGCAGTAGTAAGAAAACCAGGTGTGGGCATCAGCCAGGGAACCACAAGAGCCTGGGCAGGTCACTGCCCCCATCGGTGAGGGGCTGGACACACAGCCCCTCAGCCAGACGTCATACCTTCCCAGTCCTCATGAGCTCTCGGGCACGGTCTAGGTCTCCAGCCCGCTTGGCGTTCAGGGCAGCCAGCTTGTACTCTCTCTGTCGGGTCAACAGCAGGGCCCGTGGGTCTGGGTCTGAGTTGGGTGGGGCAGAAATGCCAGGGCTTGTCTCAGGCTGAGAAGGGATGTCTGCGGAGAAATAAAAAGCCCAAAGAGGGGGTGTCGGTCAAAGAATGGGCATGCCCTGGGTTCCCAGTGCCCATAGGTCTGGTTGGCCTAAGGACCTCTCAGGGAAGGTGTGACTGACGGCAATGACAGTGGCAGGATGGGGAGGCAGGCGATGGGCTCTGACCTTGAGAACCAGGATAGGATGTCAGTGTCTCCAGATACCTGGCTCCATGGTGGGAGGAGCTGGGGGATCTGCCTCGGAGCTCCTGTCGGTGGTTTCCTGGGGGGACAGGGGCTTCCTGCCCAAGGCCACTGGAGGTGGGATCTCATCCTCATTGATCTTCCTGCCTCTCCTCACAGCAGCCAGCTGGGCCTCTAGAGTCTGAGGGAGAGAAGAGCCAGAAACCCAGCAGCCATCTCAGTCTGGATCCCGCTTGAAGAAAAGCCAAGGATCCCTCCCTTCCATTGGCCTAACTTCCTGCTGCCTCACCCGCTGACCTCAGCCCCACTCCTCCCAGCCCTGCTCCCTGTCTGGGCCCAACTGACCTTCAGGCCACGCTCACAGCGCCTGGCTTTGGCGGCTTCACCTGCCTCCTTGGCGCTGGCTGCAGCCTCCCGGTAGTTATGGATCCGATCGTCCAGCAGAGCCTGCAGCCCCTGAGGCCCTCCAGCCTGTAGATACTTCAGTTCAGGACCTGGCCACCCCAGGGCCAAGTAGGCCCTTGCTGCTCCCTCCCTGCCAGGAAGCTGCCCCAGAAAATGAGGCTCTTGGATTCAAGTAGAAGGAAGAACCTAAAAGTCTCAAGGGAGGAGGAAGAGACTCACTGGACAGGCCAGAGGCCATGTCAGAGGCAAACAGAGACCCAGACAATCTGTGGACAGCTGTGGGGGGTGGTCTGGGAGAACAGAGAGGCCTTTGAGGCCAGCCAGCCACCAAAGAGTTTCTTGTGCTCGGTCACTGGTCAGGGCGCAGCTGGAGGAGGGCCCTGCAAAGGGTTACTGCAGCCTTTCTCTGCAAGCCATGCTACGTGCATGTTATACATGCGTACGTGGGGGCATCGAAGGCACAAAGGATCCCTCCAGAACCTACCTGAGCTGCTGGGGCTGAAGCTGTTAGGAGAGGTGTTTGCACTGGAGATTCAATGTTTTCCTGTTCCTTCTCCTCTGGGCCATCAAGGCTGGCTGTCTCAGCATCATCCAGGGGCCCAGCTTTCTCATCTGTACCCAGGACTTCCTGCAGTTCACTCTGGGGAGACACAAGGCCCAGGAGCTTGGGAGCCTCATGGCCATACCTATGATAGGATCTGAAAATAAAGGACTCTCCCCCCGCCCCAGCAGTACTTCCCAACATTAGTCAATGTGCCTGAAAGTCCCCTTCACCAAAACACTTCTTTAATCTGACTGAGGATAGCCTTTTAAACAGTGAAGACTACAAATGTGAGAATCGCCAAAGGCAGAGCTCAGACCACACAGCACAGGAGACTAGCCGCACACTGTAGTCAGACGGGCCAAGAAGGGCAAGGTGCTCACTTAACATGAGAGCACAGAGGGACCCGCCCAGGCTTCCCACACAGCCCTCGGACACCAGCCTGCCAGACGCACCAGCAAGTCTGCGTCCTCCTCCAGCCCTTCCTCCTCCTCCTCCTCCTCCTCCTCATCCCGCATACAGTCTGCCGCCAGCTTCTCGATGTGGGCCATAGGCAAGGTGCCTGGGGGAACAGAGGGTTGGGGTAGCTCAGGAAAGGTCCACGGAGAGGAAAGGAGGGTCTTCAATGCATGGAGCATTTCTACACCCAGGTATAAATCCTGATCTCCCACAGCCCAAGCCCCCCCTGTAAAAGCCCTGCTCTCCCTTTATGACCCAGGTCGAAGCCCCTCAGCCAGGAAACCTTCCTGGGCCCCCAACAGGCAACAAGCTGCTCCCTTCTCGGCATTTGTTTTAATAGCTCTTCACAGACCTACTCATCCATTGCCCCTAACCACCTTTCACACATCTAAAGATTTTTAACATCTATTTGAGCTTCACAACAATTCTGCAAGGTAGGTAATATTATCGCTATTTTATATATGAGTAAACTGAAAACTACCAATATTAATTTTCCTAATACTGCGATCCTATTAAGTGGCAGAACCATGATTCAAACCCAGGCTCACCTAACCCCAAAGCAGGTTTGGACTAAGACAGAATGGAGGGCTGTGTTTCTCCCAGACCAGTGTGCCCCTTCCAAGATCCTCCCATGATCCTCAGGTCCCTCAATTCAGGGGTACATGGGATTGGTGTGTGTGTGTGTGGGGGGGTACGGGGGTACAGGGAGGTTCTCTCTGAGGGTTCCTGGAGAGGGGAGAAGAGAGGAAGATTTAGACCCTCTGACCCTCCCAGACTTCAGGTCTCTGTCCTCTTCCAGGCTGGGAAGGGATATTTCACTTCCTCATTCAACACAATTTCTATCCACTTATTAGTGCCCAGTTTGCCTGTGCTGAGCACTTACTCTATACTTGGCCCAGCTAAGGCTAAGGCTAGGGACCTGAGTCAGGTGGAGAATCAGATTGCTGAATGTCCACTATGGTGAGCGGGGCAGTCCAGGGAAGAAGTGAGCTCCCGCCGGTGTGTGAGCAGGGCAAGATGGCTTCTTGGTGGGAGTGCTGAAGAAGGGACATGGATATCAGAAGGAACAGGTGGTCTGGCTAGCTCTTCACAGCTGTGAGGAGAGGACCTTCCCACCCACCTGCCTGATGAGCCCATCTGGTCCCAGCACCGAGTCCTGCCCAGAGCCATAAACTCACCCTGTCCCGTGGGTGCTGGCTTCCTGCCTGTGGTTCCTACTTCCCCAGTGAGGGCCAGCAGCTCGGCCTCCAGGTCCCCGTCATCTTCAGTCTCCTCCGTCCCCAGCAGCATGTCCTCAGGGCTGAATTCCACAAAGAGCCCCAGCTGAGAGCAAAGATTTCATAGGACCCACTCAATGAGGCAGAGGTGGAACCCAGCCCCAGAGCCAGTCTCCTGGTCAGTGGCTCCTTCACTGTCTGAGGCCCAGGATGCAGAAAGGGAAACCGGCCTGCAAGTGTCCCTTTAGGACACTCCTTTACCTGGTGACTCTACAGAGAGCCCAGTAAGACTACACTGCCATTATTATTACTGACAACAACAATACTAGATGCCAGGCACTGTACTTAGCACTCTACATGATTATCTTAGTTAATTTTCTCACAATCCTGATAGGTCCTTTTTTTAAAATTAGAAAACACACATAACATGAAAATTGTTATCTTAACCATTCTAAGCGTAGAGCTCAGTAGCATTCCGTACATTCACACTGTTGTGCTACTGTTATCACTATCCATTCACAGAGCTCTTTTCATCTTGCAGAACTAAATCTCTGTACCCATTAAACAACAACAACTCATTCTCTACTATCCCCAGCCCCTGGTAACCCCATTCTACTTGCTGTCTCTATAAATTTGACTACTATAAGAAAGGTAGGTTCTATTTATATTTCCATGTTCCAATGAAACTGAGACAGCCTTGTAAGTGGAAGAGCTAGAATTTAAAATAAATTTTTATTTATTTTGTGATGTGAGTCTATGCCCTTTATCCTACCACCTTCCTTACTTGCCTCTTTTAAGACAAGACAAATAGACTAAGAAGTCTCAGGACGTGGGCCTGAAACAAGAGATCAGAGAGACCTCTAAGGCAGCAAAACTCTCCCAATGGACATAAACTCTCAAGCCCTGCATCCTTGGTTGGCAAGCAGTGTGGCCTAATGCACCCATGAGAGCACGAAGGCCCCTTCAGAACACCTTAAACTGGAGGTTCCTGAACACTCCAGATCACTCATACGGAGGTGGCCATGGCAGGATGCCTGGGTTGAAACGTGTGGGTGGCAGGAGCTAGGCAGAGGGTCTCTAAGGGATCTGACAACACCAGGGGGCACTGCTCCAAGTCTCTGGACTAATGGGGCTACCATACAGATGACCCAGTTTGCCCACGCTGTTTAAGAACCCCCACCCTCAGACTGGAGCTGGGGTGAACAAGCCTTTATACATACCTGCTTGGCAGCCGCCACACCCTGACCACTGGCCTGAGGGCCCTTCCGAGGTCTTGGCCGTGGCATCTTGACAGCCTAGACACACCTATCTGGTGGGGAGTGGAAGAGACTCAGACTGGAGAGGACTTCAAGCCCCTCCCCCAACAGTGCTACCTGCAGTAGGTGTGGTTAGTCAACTCCCAACTAAGAGAAAGAAGATAACGCTTAACACCAAAGGATGAAATACTAACACGAAGTACAGCACCAATGCAAGCAACAAGGGAGATGAAAGGGATGGCGAACACCTGCTAATGGGTGTTAAGTGGGGAGTGTGGACACACAAAAAGTTACAGAAATGATTGCCAAATTTGGATTAAACCCAAGAGGTTGAGTGGGGAGAAGCCTAGGAAGACAGATTCAGGGCAGTAACTCTAGGTAGAGGGTGGGTGGGTACAAGGCTGAGTAAGGTTTACAAAGGCTCTAAAGCTGTCAGATATGGTAGCAATATATGACTATTTAAATTAAAAATCCAGTTCCTCAGCTAATGACTACCATTGTCCAGCATACATATTGAACATTTTCCCACAAGTTCTATTGGACAGTTCTGCTCTGGAGAAACCTGACTCATAATTCTGATTGTCTCAGAGAACTCAAAACCATTCATAGGACCCTGTGTTGGGCACTGGGAGAGCAGGAATGAATCTGACATGTTCTCAACCCTCATAGGACATTTACATGGTGGAGACAACCTCATCAATAGACAAAAACCACACAGGGCTCCTCTAGGGGCCATGAGTGCCCAGGTGCCACTCCTTATCCAGCACAGAGAGAAAAGGTTTCTTCGAGGTGATGCCTCTGGCTAAGTCATACAAAATTTGGGGAAAAGGATTCCAAACATAGGGAACAACCTGATAATGGCTCTGAGATGAGGAACAGTCTGACCTGCATAAGGAAACTAGAGACCTGGGATTACTGGGGCCTAAAATGTGAGACACAAAATGGTACAAGCGAAGCTGAAAATGTGAGCAAGGGGCAAAATAGAAAACCCTTTAAATTTAAAGGCGTTTGGGCATTATTCTGAGGGCAATGTACGTGACGGTATCAGGTGGGAAATTCACAAACATCCGTCTGGCCGAAGACGGGAAGGAGGTAGGACGGAGAATGGAGGCTGGAAACAGTCCCGTCTTGCAACGATCTTGGCAAAGGGGAGAGCTGCAGAGGCGTGGGGGTGGCGAGAAGAGGATGGATTCCAGAGTTGGGGGTAAAATCAACAAGGCTCCGAGATTAACTGGACGTGGGCGCACAGGAGGGAGAGCTCAGGGTGACTCCAGGCGTCAGATTTCATGGCGTGGGTGAACGGCGGGCCGTCAACTGAGCGGGGACAGTGAGTGACCAGGCTCAGGGAAAAAGACGAGGTCAGTCAGCCACGCCAAGTCTGTGGTTCCGTGAGCACCAGGCTGGGGGTATCGGTGCCGGTTGCAGGCCCGGGCTCAGAAAAGAGGAGGGCAGCCGAGTGAGCAGGAGAGGCGAAGCCAGGGGACCCTACTCCCGCGCGGCAGGACGCACCGCCCTGCCCAGCCCCAGCCAACTCCATCTCCCCCGCAATCCCAGGTCTCCCCTCGCCGGGATCCAGGGACGCGGCATACCTCGCGGCGGATCCGTTTCCAACCCGGGCCTTCTCCTGCCCGGAACCGCCCAGGGATCCCGCCGCCACCCGGCCCCAGCAGCGGCCTGGACAGGAAGCCCGCTCGAAGACCGCTCGCGCCCCAACACGTGACTCCACGCCCCCTGCGGCGGGCAATACGCATGCGCAAGACGAAGCGGGCGTGGCGCTCCGACAGGTGACTCTAAGGGTGGGGTTCTCAGCGTGCAGGCTAAACCAGGCCCAGAGAGGGTCGTCGGGCGGTTCCGAGGTCTCCAGCTGCTTGCGCAAATACAGTAGGCGCGTCACCTGCCCTTGCCCAATTATAGCTTCCCTACCTATGTTCCTCCCGCACTCCCAGTCCAAGGCTCCCGGGCGCAAGCCGGCCTTACGCCCTCGCTCCGCCCCTCTCGTCGTAGGGGCGGGGCTGACGCAGACTCCTCCCTAGAGGAGGGGCTGCTCTGCTTGCCACCAACTTCGCCCTCCTCCTTTGTAACTTGTCTTTAGAGAAATGGGGTTCACCTTGTTTTTTTCACTCAGCACCTGAATGTACCTTTTCCAATCAGGCGGGTTAAATACTTAAGATGATAGGCAGTGGGTGCTTAACTGCACCTCTTCATTAAGTCACTTCCTAGTTGAACACCCAAATTTCTACTCCCCTGCCCTGCAGAGCAATGAAATGGGGGATGGGGAAGGGCGTCAAAGGAATCTTCCATCTAAAACAAACCTTGCAACTCACTCCTGCCTATCTCCTAAACTTAATTATGTTTTATAACTATGTCTTGTAGTTAGCGGTTTCAAAGATCTTCCATTTCCCTTGGACAAAGAGCTTTTCCATGTCCTATTGCTTTGGGGTGGCCCAGAGACCAACCTTAGTTTAGCATTTTAAAATTGAAGTTCACTTCCATTTTTTTCTAATTAAAAATTTTAAACTCTTATAATGAAATATTTAATATATACATTTCACATTTGCTTGAATGCAAGCGCAACAAACGCAGAAATGTTTGTTCAAGTTATCTCCAGTGACTAGAGCAGTGCATGGTATAGGCAGGCACTCAATAATTCCTATTTCTCTTGTGAATTAACATAGGCACCAACCACAAGTTTAAGAAAAAACAGTACAATACAGTTGAAGCCGCCTATCACGTTGCAACCCTTTTTCAGAGAGATACCCACTCTCCTGAGTTTGGTGTTTATTATTCCTGAGCATTTCTTTCTATTTCTACTATGTATGTATATATCCTTAAACAACCCATAGTATTTTTTTTTTTTTTGCAAACTTTAACATCATATTATTGGTATCATTGTATATATTCTTCAACTTCTTTGTCTGCGCCACCCTATTTGTAAGCTTCATCCACATTGATATTTACATTTTATCTAGTTATTTTTCATTTCTGTATGGTATTGAACAGTATGAAATAATTCACTTTTCGAATAGCTTGCCATTACAGTGCTATGAGCATTCTTGTACACAACTCCTAAGATACACGTTTTTCTAGAAAATTGCTGGCTCATAGGATTTCTGCATTTTCCAGACAATAATAATTCCAAATTATCTACAAAGTTACACTCCCTTCAGTGGGGCATGACTTCCAGGCCCCTTTTACTATGTTTACATTTTGTTGGTCGTTCATGTTTCTTATTCTGTGGATGACTTATTTACCCATTTTTTTCCCTTTATTGTGTAATTCTTTTAAATATTCTGATACTGTTCCTCAGTCTATTATATGCAGTTATAAATATTTCACAATTCTCCTAACAAGGGCATTCTCCTGCACAATTTATCACTCACAAAATTTAACATTTGCATACTATTACCTATTATGAATATAGTCCTTACTGTTCATAATTATTTATATCTCTTAAATCCACAATCCAGTCAAGACTCAGAGTACATTTAGCTATTTAGCTCTCATTTCTCTATTTTCCTTTAGTTTGATATAGTTTCTCCACTTTGGTTTTGTCTTTTGTGACATTGATTTTATGAAGAGGAGAAGTTGCTTTGCAGAATATTTTTTCCTCAATTTTAATTTATCTGAACATTTTCTCATCAATAGACTCAGATCAAACATTTCTGGCAGGACTATTACATGGATGATGTGTTTTTCTCAGTGCCTCACATGAGGATTTGGATGTCAGTTTGTCCCACTGTTGGCTTTCATATAAATCTTAGAATTAACTTGCAAAGTTACACCAAAACCCCTACCAAGACACTGATTGGAATTGAGTTGTATTTACAGATTAATTACATTTCTATTAGCTTTATTCCTAGGTACCTTATATTTTGTGTGCTATTTAAATCATTTTTAGTCACAGATTTGTTTTTATAACTGATACCTTCTTAAAAATTACATTTTCTTAAAAATAAAAATTACATTTCTAGCTATTTGTCACTAGGGATTACTTATTACTATTTCCAGCAGTTCTTTTTTATAAACTAAGTTTGTCACATTCATATTGTTCAAAAGTTAAAAGAGGGCCGGCCAAGTGGCTCAGTTGGTTAAAAGTTAGCTTAAGAGCGTGAGCTCTGAGCAACAGGGCCGCTGGTTCGATTCCCACATGGGCCAGTGACGCTGCTCCTGAGCTGAGCTGCCAACAGGAGACAGGACGGCTCAGCTGGTGAGAGCACATGCTCCTAACAAGACTGCTTGTTCATTGGTGGGCTATGCCCGCCTGCAACTAAAGCTGAACTTGGCACCTTGAGCGGAGCTGCCACCTGGATGGCTCAGTGGATAGAGCATGTGCTTTTAACAACAAGGCTACTGGTTCGACTCTCGCATGGGATGGTGGCTATACCCACCCACAACTAAGACTAAACACAGCAGCTTGAGTTCAGAGGCCACGAGCTGCCAATGGGCAGCCAGATGGTGACTGGCACCCTCCACAACTAAGACTGAAGAACAACTTGGCTGGTCCCCTCCCCCAATTTAAAAAACAAAAAAAGTTAAAATATACACAACATTCAAGTGAAAGTCTTACTCTACCCCCTGATCACAGCCATCAAATTCTTTCCCAGAGGCAACCAATCTAACCAATTTCTTACATATTCTCCCAGAACTATTTTGTATCAATACAAGTTAAGTGTATATATGCAGGTATTTGTATACATGGTGTGTTACAATTAAATAAATGCGAGGCTACTAACAGAAATAAAAGTCAGAGGGAGGGCCCATTGTAGGAAGGATGGTTTGGTTTCATAATCTGATATTTGTAATGGCTATAAATTTCCCAAACACTCCGGAAAAAGCAAATTATTTAATGGAAAATTCCAAACTACATGATAGCCATTTCCATTTAGAATGATTTGCCACAACAATTACATGTGTTTAGAAAAAGAAAATCAGGCTCTTTAAAAATTGCAGTCCTGCCTTGTGAGGCCCTTCACTCTTTTTTCAGTGCATACAACACATCATTCTGGCTGACATTGAGCCGTACACGAAGGAGCAGGTCGTTCCTGCTGGGCTCCACGAGGAGGAGGCGGCAGGAGCCCAGATGAGAGCACACTGCCATGGTCTCTGACATGGTGGGGTATGGGAGTCCCTCCATCCTACACAGTTCCACATGTTGCCTGTATACCTAGAAACAAAAAGCAAATCCAAGGTCAGCTGCCAGAAAGACTAAGAGAAAAAGGTAGTTCGGTTCTCTATCTGATCATTTATTTCTTCTTCTTCAGGTACTTCTTGGCCAGGATAATCAATACCCTGGAAGGCATCAATGGGTGCCCCACTGAGGCATAAATGCAGGGGCAGGATGCAACAGTGACCTCAGAATCAGAACAGCAGGTCTGAATCCTGGTTCTACCAATTACCTAAATATGACACCCCGGGCAAGTTACGAGTATTTCACTTTTTGAGCTTCAGTTTTACCTGTTAAATGTATTATAATATCTCATGAGTTAATGGGTATAAAATGTCTGGTAATTGTGACTGTTATACAAACAGTCCTGATATACAGGGGCTGAGAGTTCCACAATTGAGATGGTCATGCTTCAAGTCAAATTTTGCTAAAAAGCCTTTTCCTTAGCAGATAGTGTATAGGTGCCAAGGCATGACCCTTGGAAAAGCAAAGGCCCAGAGAGAATACTGAATAAAGAGATGCAAAGGGATAGCTAGAAACATAGATTCCTACCCTAAAGCCTCAAGTGGGCCAGGCAAGTCTGTAGCACTTCCCGGTCACTTTCTATTCTAACTATTTATAAGTCTATCCCCCACCCCCAATCCCCACCAAGACTGGGAGCTTGTCAGGAGCAGGGATATTAACCAATTCAGATCAGGGTTGCTGGCTCCTATCACAGTTAATAGCACATTGTAGATGTTCAGGAAATATTCACAAACTAAAATGAAAGTCACTCTCTGCAGAAGAGCTGTCTCAGGTTCTAGAAGGAGAATGGGCAAAACATGACCAGCAACGAAATGTTTAAAAAAGAATTTAAAGAAGAAAAGCTAAAAGGAAGTAAATAAGCAGTTGGAAGGAAATGTTTTCCCGACCTCTCTATCTGTATGTCTAAAACATACACAGACATACACACTCCCAGGCACAGACTTAAACAGCTTGAACAATTCACCTTTTAAGGCAGCCCATTGCTTGTGGATACCAGTTTTAAATAAACCACTAAAGCACAAGCCCTAATACTTCCCTTTACTCAATGTAATGGAAACCAAGCTAAACAGTGTTTGGATTGATCTGGGTGATTTGTTTTTAAACAGGGTTCATTCTGAAAGCCTTGACCACACTATACCACCATAAGCTATATTAAGGCAGTAACTTTTGACTTGTTCATCTTTGAATCTCCCACTCCTAGAATAGTATCTGGTACACAGTAAACCTTCAATCTAATATGCAGAAACCAGTTGCTTAAAGGTCTTTTCTCATGTATCTCAATAAAATATCACATAAAAATAGGAGCTGGTCTGATATTCTTTAGCACAATCAAATTGGAACAAAATAGAGACAAACTATTACACAGTGATTGAAATTCTCACATATTTTAGAGGCACCAGACCAAAATCTAGAAGGATTTGAAGAAAGGAGATAAATCACCTGTTGAAATGTTGCTTCCTCCAGCCCTGATTGACGGAACTCTGCAAGGATGGCTCTCAAGAAGCTCTGTTCCAGAACCGAGGAATTTCTTAAAGAAAATGAAAAGATGTGAATTCTTACAAGTGGCTATACCAACAACCAAGAGGAAAGCCAAATAAAGCTTTAGAGAAGAGGGAGGGGAAATGGGGACTATTTCTTCCTATAGTATTTGGCAAGGATCTCCCCTACCCCCTAAAATCTCAAAATGATATAATAAATGCCACTTTGGAAGTGAGGGAACACAGCAACTACATCTGAAATGTACAGCACCCCATTTCATGAGCTGAGTATATCACTCAGTGGGAGAGAAGTAGCTGCTTCCTTCTTGTTCCCGTAGCACTTTACCACATGTCTACAGTGTAACTCAATTCATGGTCATTCTTTCCTGTTATACTAGGTTTACATGTCTGTCTCCCTGACTAGACTATGTCCCTTAAGAAAAAAGACAGTGTCTTCAAAAAACGTAGGTTGAAAGAGTAAAACCTTTGAAAGGAAAACATGCTTCCATGGACTTCCCAGACTATAGCCCTCTCCAATGGTCTTCCAAGGAATGTTCAGGGTCAGGAAGCAGAAGGGTCTTACTTGATGGCAGTGATGTATGACGACGAAAACATTTCATCTACTGCTTCCAGTAAGTGGCCTATGGTGACCAGGCCAGCGGAGCCAGGCTTCTGGCAGGAGAACTCACAGATCTCTGTGGCACGCCTACAAATGTCCAGGCAGCGTCGTGCATCTCCAGAGAGAGCTGCTACCTACAGGAGGGAACATTTGATTCCTTAAGGTCCCCTTGCCATCTCAGCCCAGGAGAAAAACCAACAGTTTCAACAGTGTTCAGATAAAAAGGAAAGGTGGTGCTGCAAAGGGACTTAAACCTGAAATTAAGTACTTAGCCCTGGCTGGGAACCTGGTGGAAGGCCAGATATATATTATCACAGTCACACCACTTCACAAGGGGGATGCATTCTGAGAAATGTGTCATTAGGCAATTTCGTCATTGTGCGAACATCACAGGGTGCACTTACACAAACCTAGATGGTACGCCTACTACACACTTAAGCTGTATGGTATAGCCTCTTGTTCCCAGGCTGCAAGCCTGCACAGCATGTTACTGTACAAAACACGAGATTAAACCAAGCGCAAGAAAAATGATGCGATCAAGAAACGAGGTAAACACAAGATGTATGAGGCTGCTGCCAGTTTAACATGGCATACTGTCTTACAGCAAACTATAAGAAAAAGTACACTCTAAAATAACGATAAAATGTATAGCAAATACATAAACCAAGAACAGTCTTTTATACATTACCAAGTATTGTATACATAATTGTATGTGCTATACTTTTATATAACTGGCAGTGTAGTGCATTTGTTTACACCAGCATCACCATTAACAAGTGAGTGATGGTTGTGCTATGACGTTATGATGGACAGGACAGCACCAGGTGATAGGAATGTTTCAGCTCCATTATAATCTCATGGGACCACTGTTGTATATACGGTCAGTAACTGACTGTAACACTGTTACACACCATATAACTGTATACTGTGCCTGGGACTCTTCTCTGAGTCCAAACCTTGTCTTGGTTTTACAGATAACTCCACAGTGGAAAAGGCAGAAATCCTCAGCTTTATCTAATATTAGGGAAATGAAATCTAAAAGAAGAGACTTGTGGGCCAAGATCATATTGAACCATCTGGAAACATTTTGGAAATAAAGCCACAGCCTGAGCCTCCCTCATAGCATGAGGTAAATTTTGGAGCCAGCCTTGGTCAATGGCTAAACAATCAGAGTCAAGGGGGAAGGAAGCCACAAATCTGGAGGAGCCAGAGGAATCCGTGGTTAGATGAATCAAATCAGCCCACATTGCCAGCATCTCCGACGCTGTTCCTTGCTTTCCGTGTGCAGAGGCTGAGGGGCTCCTGGGCTCCCTTCATAGGGAATCCTATACTCTCTCCCAAGCTGACTTAGGCCACTTGCATTTTAAATTTCACTCAGGAATTCCTGGACTCACTGTGGCCTGCAAGGATCTCTCAGTTTCTGTATTCCCAGTACCTGCCAGCAATCCCCACCATATGCCTGACGACCATCACAGGCAACGACAACCTGCCTGACAACGTGTGGAAATGATTATTTCCTTCTAAAATTCCTGCAAAATTCAGTTTTAAAAAGCAAATTGTATAGGCATATATAGATACATGTACACAATACACAAAGATATAGTCATTTCTGGGAAGTGGGATTATAGGCGTTTTAACATGTTTTATGTATATTTTTGTTTTCAGAATTTAAGATGTTCAAAACAGAAGTTGCTTTTCCAAGTAACCCAAGGCATAAACATGAGTATCAGCTTATAGTCTTCCTTTCCTCTAATCTCCAATCCAATTAGTAAGGCTGTCCTATGGATGTTTCTACCCTATCAGCTCTTTCCTCTGGTCACCGTTACCACTGCCTTGTGAAGCAGTATTGTGTTAATAGCATAGACTCAAGAGCTGGGAGGCAAGAAAACACCCACAGCATACCTGAGAGTATCCATGAACCTTGGTGATTGTAAGCACCCTTTTTGACTGCTGCTGTGGTGAAGGAGACAAGAAACCCATCATGCACAGGGAATGGTAAGAAAAATGTCCAGTTTGATCTTGGTGTTAGGTGGTATAGGATAAAAAAACTCAGTCTTTGCCACCACAGGCCCTCACATGGATCTGTAGGCCAAATTTATGCTGTGTCTCCTAAAAACCTCAAGGGGAGAATTTTATTTTAAAATGGCCCCAGTTGATAGAGCCCCTAATGCCATCACCAAGTTCCCAGTGACTGCCGAGTTGGCCATGAAGAAGATACAAGACAATACACTTGTGTTCACTGTGGATGTCAAGACCAACAAGCCCCAGATGAAACAGGCTGTGAAAAGGCTCTAAGACACTGACGTGGCCAAGGTCAACACCCTGATCAGGCCTGATGGAGGGAAGCAGGCATATGTTCCACTGGCTCCCAGCTATGATGCTTTGGATGCTGCAACAAAATTGGGATCATCTCAACTGAGTCCAGCTGACTAACTCTAAATATAAAAATTTTTCACAGTAAAAAAAATAACATTTTTTTTGGGCCGGCCGAGTGGCGCTATGGTTGCGATGGTTAAGAGCTGGCTTGGGACGCCAGAGGGCCTCGGTTCGGATCCCACATATGCGGGCCAGTGGCACTGCCCTCTACAGCTAAGATGCTGAACAACAGCTCAACCTGGAGCTGGGCTGCTGTGAGTTGCCAGCGTGGCATAGGCTGCAGTCACTGCTGCAGTGGGTTGCCGTGGGCTCTGTGTGTAGCCAGCAGCCAGTGTGAGCAGCCAGCAGCCACAGTGAGCGGCCGTCCAGAAGCTGGTGACTGATATGCCTCGCCCAGGAAGAGCGCAATGATGGTGCCAACTTGAACCAGTGAAGCAATGTCCTCCACAACTAGACTGAAGAACAAAAAAGAATAATGGTTATGTGAAAAAAATCAAAAAAAAAAAAAAAAAAAAAAACATTAAAAAAAATCGGTATGTTTCTTTATAAGTAAAGAAATAAGAGGTTTGAAATTACAGGCAAGAGTTTTAGGTAAAAACAACAAACAAATTTGATGCCTTCTGAAATGTTAAAAGATCAAGAACCCTAAAAGGAAGGAAAGCGACAGGAGTAAACAATATAATTCTGCAAGCTGGAAAGAGGTGGCAGAGTAGTTGGCTGACTTAGCAGACTGAAGAAAGCCAGTTCCTAAGCTGGTAAGGAAGAATCCAAGAATAAATCTAAATTACACTAAAAATCATCAAAATGCTCAGGGTTAGTGGTACTGGAGCTGGAGGTAAAAGGGGAAGTTTGGCTAAAATGAGGACTTATTTTGAAAGTTAAGAAACTGATGCCCTAGATCAGGAGTCAGTCAACTATGGCCTGCCACATGTTTTTGTAAATAAAGTTTTACTGGAACACAGTTATGTGCATTCCTTTACCTATTATGCATGGCTGCTTTCCATGATGCAAGGGCAGAGTTGAATAGTGCTGACAGACCATTATGGCCTGCAAAGCCTAAAACATTTACTACCTGGCCCTTCACAGAAAGTTTCCTGACCCTTTCGCTAGACCCTCTCCCATTTCATGCTGTTGGGTGAACATTAGGGCCACTGACGAGAGGGATGGTTTAGGGCTCTGTGAGAAAATTTTGTGCCTTGGCAATTTGTA